AAATAAATAAATAAATAAATAAATAAATAAATAAATAAATAAATAAATAAATAAATAAATAAATAGCTATGGATAGATAGCTATAGCTATCCATCCAGATAGCTATAGCTATCCATCCATCCATCCATCCATCCATCCATCCATCCATCCATCCATCCATCCATCCATCCATCCATCCATCCATCCATCCATCCGTCTTGCTCCCTTCCCTTGGAATTTCCTCTGCCCCCAACCCCCCTGCATGGTTCTAGTTTACCTCTTCTTTCCCATCCCCACCTCTTAGTTCACCACTCTAGCTACTATACTACACTGTCCATAATCAGACATGGGGTAGAGCTTCTGTCAACCATCCGTCACTTACGTTCAAATACTGGCGGTTGGAGAAAATCTTCCCACAGCCGTCATAATCACAAAGGAGGATCTCTCGCTTGGCTGCCTTCCTGGAAAGCAAGTGAATGAAAAGGAAGAAAGAGGAGACCCATAAAACCTCCAGCTCTACATGTCACAATAAAATGACAGAATAAAGCTAAATTACCAGCTGTGGAAATTTTTTAAAAATACAACCATATGTCAATCCTGACTGCTCAAACATATAATCCAATATTAACAAATAAGAGGTGATTTTAAAGCACTGGCTTTACCTGAACAGCCAAAATATTACTTTATGAATCAACTGATGCAATACAAATGTTAAATTCTAAAATGATGTAGGTAATGGCTATTGTGAAGCAATGGAATTAATTTGGAAAAAAAACACAAACCATGAATGAGTTGTTACAAGTCCTAATTAGAGATATCCCTACGCAGCTGGACCTAAAGAGGGTACGGCCCCGGAGACCGGACCATCCACTCACATATCTTGCCATGGCGTTGGTCCTGCTCGTCCTTCCAATGGTGCCCAGGGCTCCACTCTCTTCCTGCTTAGCTGGCCACTCAGCAGCCTTGCAGGGAGCCTTGTCCTCCCGACCCCTGCCTGGAGTGGGCAGCCGAGCAGGAAGACATCAGAGCTTTGGCCCCACTGGCAGGATGAGCAGGGACAGTGCTATGGCAAGATGCACGAGTGGATGGTCCAGTCCTGGGGCAGCCAGACCCTTGTTAGGTTCAGCTGCACTAGTCCTAATCTTTCAGTGTTCAACAGGGTTGCCATCAATCAGACACCCTTACACAATAGCCTGCAGCTCTCTGTTTACGTTTTTGCTGAAACAGCAGGTTTGCCCTATAATTATATCAGCAGAAATCCTAGTGGGGTTTGTGTAAGATTTTAGTAACTTAATATATTCGCGAAGGCTTTCATGGCCGGGATCTAATGGTTGTACTGGGTTTTTCGGGCTCTTTGGCCATATTCTGAAGGTTGCTCTTCCTGACGTTTCGCCAGTCTCTGTGGCCGGCATGATGAGGTCCCAAGGTGCAGCTGGGGGAGGAGCATAACAAGGCACACAACAGAGACACACCCCAGCAACTTGTCAGTTAGCTGTAATTTGCCATAGCAAGGTAAGCAAATCTCCTTTGAACACTGCTAGGATTATGTTGTTGTTTAGTCATTTAGTCGTGTCCGACTCTTCGTGACCCCATGGACCAGAGCACGCCATCTTTTTTTTAAAATGAATGTAAATAAAAACAGGACTAAAATGAAGAAACAGGTGAGGTATCTGGCTGCGGAGCCAGAGGCTGGGAGCTGGATTCCCCATTGCGCCTCCTGGGAGAAAAGTCATCCTGTGTAGCCTTGGGTATGCTGCAGAGTATCAGGGCATACTTGGAAGAAAGGAATGGCAAACCATTTCTAAGTACAGTGGTGCCCCACCACACGATTACCTCGCAGAACGACAAAACCGCAGGACGGTGACTTTTTTGTGATCGCTATAGTGATCACAAAACGATGTTTCCAATGGGATTTTTTCACTGGACGTGGGTCCGTTCCGTGCTTCACGAACCGTTTGTTTGCAATACGATGATTTTTACGACATTGCAAAATGGCTTCCCGCTTTTTCCGACCCATGCTTCGGAAGACAGCCATTAAAAACAGCTGATCGGCACTCAGAAAATGGCTTCCCTATGGAGGATCTTTGCTGGACGATGAGGTAATTTCCCCATTGGAATGCATTAACCGGTTTTCCATGCATTCCAATGGGGATTTTTTTTTCCGTGTGACGATTTTGCTGTACAGTGATTTCAGCAGAACTAATTATTGTTGTCATGCTGGGCACCACTGAACTCTCTATTTAGAAAACAATGAAAAGGATCAGGATTGACTGGACAGCACACTATTGTTGTTGTCGTCACTATACTTGATATTAGCCAAAAGGCCAAGAACTGAAGTGATTTGAGAGAGACAGGAATATTTACATGTACAAATAAAGAACTACATTTGAATAAGACAGGGCTAATTTGCTAGTGTCCAGTCTTACGCCCTGAATTAGAGGTCTCAGTCCATGCCACCTAACTCTTCTACCCTTTTTTTCTTGGCTTTGTTTGCCAAGTAGGCTAACAAGGTTGAACAACCAATGGACTAGCACCCACCTGATTCTTTTGGGACCAATCTGAGCTACATCTTCATCACGAGGTGGTGGCGTCCATTTTGTCCAGCTGTGGGGGGGGAAACACAAGGTGAATAAAGATAGCTGTTCCTCCTGAAGAGCCCCCAGGCTACTGAGAAATTGGCTCTTTTAGGCTACTACTTGTAGAATCTCCCAGCCAGAAGAGTCACTGGATTCTACGAGGAGTCCAAAGAAAGTTTTGGAATCATCTATTTTGAAAAATGTTGGAGAAATGGTGTGGCAAAACTTATCTGATTAGCCCTGGACTTATGTCAACTGCTCTAGTTATTCAAGAGTTTGAAAGAAGTTTCTACCACACTTAGCCAGTGTTGAATTGAGCGTTGAATTAGGACTCAAAAAAAGTTCAAATCTCCATTTAGTCATGAAACGTTGTGGCGGATGTTGGACCAGGTACACTTTCTCAGCCTAACCTACCTCCAAGCTTGTTGTGAAGATAAAGGCGGGGAGGAAGAGCTATATACAGTGTAAGCCACTTTGAGCTCAGCAGAGGAAAACTGAGACAAAATGTTAATGAACTTCCTAACTACCTTGACCAGGGAAATTCTGCCCCTTTCAGTGTGTCATCTGTATAAGGGCTATGGAGCTCCGGAGATGGACTTCCCAACACTGACTAAAAAGGCATGTGATTCTGGGCCAATTCACACAAACATTTGCTTCTATAGCAGTGGTTTGGTTCCCAACCTTAAGTAACGCAAGTGTTCTTGGACTGCAATTCCCACACGTCTTCACCACCAGCTGTGCTGGCCATGGTGTCTGGGAGTTGTGGTTCAAGAACACCTTGGTTACCCAAGGTTGGGAGCCACTGTCTATGACAATAAACCATAATATCAGTTGCGTGGGGTGGAGATGTTTAGCCAGCCTCAGTGTGTATTGGAACATTCAAGAGACTCATTATAAGATTTAGGGTTTAATAACCAACTGTGCCAAACACCCAACGCCATCTTTGCCCAGGGCCAACATATATGCAGTAAGGGAGGCAAGGACAGTATCTTCCACAAATATATCCAAAACCAGTTCCTTCCTCCCTGCAAGGAAAAAGATAAGCAGGTAAAGGGTATATTTTTCTCTTGATGGTTGTATGGGTGAGAAAGCGAGCGATTTTATGAAAGCAGCCTGATTGGAAAGAGAGATTCACGTTTCTCTCTGCGGCCCATCTATGCAGCTGCTCTGGACAAGCTGGAGCCTCCACAACGTGGAATTAAAGCAGGTGGGTGGTGGTGGTCCTCCAGCCCTGAGGCTACACGTGCTAGCCTGCAGCTCATCTCACGCAGCCCTTGGTCTAATTTCAACAGTGCTTCTTTTAGGCCATGGCAAAGACAACTGGTCTCATCCGGAGCAGCCCAAGAGATGAGAAGGAAAAGACAGAAAAGGTTCGACTCTGCTATATTCTCTCGAGCCCTGCTAACCCCTGAGATGGAGCCCCACGGTTCAGAAGAACTGGTTGCCTGTTGACCACTATAGGACAGAAAGAACTTCTCAAAGATGCCCCGAACGTCTTCCATGTTAAGCACAGTGTGGTCGGCACTTCTGACCGAATCTTGGCTCCTGTTTTTCAGCCTATAGGGCTCCAGCACTGGTTGCCTGTTTAATCTGCTTTTTTTTTGGTTAACTGCTTCCCCCTCTCCCTTTATTCCAGGCATGCTTCCTCACCGAATTGCGCTGCCCTTCTCCTCAGAGGAAAGATGGCCTGTGAGGCATGTTTCCTGGGAGAGCTGGTCTTCCTTCACAGGACTCTTGCAACTCCTGGTTAGGTTTTGGTGTCTTTGCAGCCTGGAGTTCCTAGTCAGAAAAGCCAGACAAAGGCAGAGTTTGTTTCCAGCTTCTGGTCCACTTGGAGCATTGGAGAAATCTTAAAATAATCCTTAACCAAGTTGCCCTTGCAGATTTTAGGTGTCAGCAGTAACTTATGTTCCATAGAGAGAGAGAGAGGCAGTGTGATGTTGTGGTTAGAATATTGGACTGAATTTAGTTCCAGTGCATGCCTCAGTGATGAAACTCATGGGGTGACCTTGGGCTAGGCGTGGAATTTTAGGATTTTGGGGGCTAAAAATCCCATATATTCCTTTTTTTAAGACTGAAATTCCTAAACTCCATAGCTTGCATAGCCACTGGAACAGAGGCTGCATACGTATTACACATTGTACTTACTGTTTTATCCTTTACATTCTTAATCCAACTGTCATCCCCTATTGGAAGAGATCCATTAAATCCACGGGATTTACCCCAGTGCTGACTTACTATTCAGAAATTTAATTCAGTGGGTCTATGCCAGTTGAGAGAAGCAGTTGGATTTAAGCCTTGCTCAACAATGTTTTACATTACTCATTTCTTACACTGAGAACCAACAGGCTCTAGCATAGCTTAGCCTGTCTGTTATCCAGACACTAAAAGTATATCAACTTGATTGTTCGGACAGGAAATGCTCAAGAGAGCACCACTGCCAGTTGCAGGTATCTAAACTCTTAATCTCACACAGAAACTTTTTCTTTACCTCTCTCAGCTCATACTGTGAAGCCACTCCCTTTCATGCCAAACACCGAAGCGTTCTAACTGTGTTTAGTTTCTTTATAATGCTGGCGAGAGTTATTCTGCATTAACCAACTTGTATTTTAAAAGTAACGACGGCCTGCTTTGGCACAATTACTTTCACTTTATAAATATCTATCCTGTATTTTGCAATGTTTAATTACATAAGCTGTCTTGTGAGCGCTGTGTTCGTACAAAGCAAAACACAAATCATCAGAGAGAAAGGAAAGGAGGGAAGGAGGTAAATAAATAAATAATCAGTCCCCTTTGTCAGCCTTTCATGATCCGCTCCAGAGGAGACGCAAGCCTGGTTCCTTACCTGTCTAGGGAAGGATGGTAATTCTCATCGCTCAAGTTGTCTGTATATTCTAGGCCATCTTCCTCTTCCAAGTTCTCTCCTCCTCCCGCTTCCTCCTCTGGTTGGTCAGGCAGTGACTCAAACCTCTCTTCTGGTGGAGTTAAAGTGCTAAAGAAGGTACCAAAATGTTGAGGGGAGGGGCAGTTATGGGCATCGCATAAGCAATGTTACAGTCTGTGTGTCTGTGTTTCAACGTAATAGGGTAAGTGATGTTGGTGATGTGTATGAGAAGTCATTAAGAAGGATGGATCCTGATGGAAATGGCATTTATCTATGGACTATGATTGGTTGAGGAGGAAGGGAGCAGTTCCTTTGGAATGAGGTGGTGAGTATGAGTCAGGGCAAATAATACAGATTTTAGGATATGATGCTACCCTGTTCCAACTGTTTCCAAATCATGTATGAGGAGGAGCCCTGCAGCCCTGCCACCGTGCTTCTGCTTCCGATGGTGTCTTTTGCATGGAAATCAACGGGCCTGATGATCTCCCAGGGTCTCCACTCACACGGAGTGCCCTCACAGAGGGCAGAGGCTGTCCTCTTCAGACGCCCCTGCTCTCAAGGTGGCAGAAAGGGATGAAAGTGGAAACAGAGGGAGTGGGGCTAGAGGGCTGCCCTCTACCTGTGGCACATTCACATGGTTTGTAGGTTTCTAGCAATGGCAAGAAGCCGACGTCAGTTGTTCAGTATCTGGGGGAGCTAAAAAACACGAAAGGAAGAGGGAGTTAGCCCCACCGCCTCCATCTTGCTTTGCCCACTTGAAGTGACAGGTCTGAAGAAGGAAGACGCATCAGTCTATGAGGGCTCTCCACCTGCAGTTTGGACATGCATGGAGAGCCTTCACAGATAAATGAGCTTTCCTTTTCCTGCCTGTTGCTTTATGTAAGCAAAACTAAATGGGGATGGGTGAGTTTCATTTATTCTCTTTTTTGGGGGAGGGGGTACCTTTGGCTCACCCAGATACTGATACTCTTGAGGGATGAGAGAAAGAGAGACTATGAGAGACAATTGTGCTGCTAGGCTAGGAAATGGGGTTCCCTAAATGATCATGTCCTTTTCCCCACAAGACTATCATTTGGTGGTGTCCCAGTGCTTCCCCCCATCCAGTTACCTCACTTTTAGTCACGAGCAAGGATTTTTTTAAAGCTAAAACATGTTGCCGTTTGTTTTGTTTCATTGCCCACTACTGGAACACACCCCAATTTCAGAATTCTCTGAAACAAAATGTTGCCGTTAGGCTGGAAAAGGTCCCCTCTTACTGTGCAGCAAACAAGCTAGCTCATTATTTACTGTACTTCCATACAATTCTGAGAGGAAACTAAGAAGATGACACTGACCTTCTAGGCTCTCGGAATTCTGTGGTAGCTGGAATTTCTTCAGAAGAAGCTGCTGTAAGAGAACATAGGATAAAATCAGACCTAGGTGACAAAAATCACAGAATTGCAGATCAACAGATGACATGCTATGTAGCCTGGCCAATTAGGAATATCCAGGCAATGAAGCAAAACAAATAGGACACTAATGCTGCATTGCTACCAAAGTATAGGCATGCTCATTTAGTAACATAAAAAACCAAAAACCAAAAAAAAATTAATAAATAGGGAATAGTTGTTTGTTTATAGTAATCCCTGGCCTAGTCAATTCTCATGAATAAAAATTTCTTCCATGTGATCAAACAGAAATGCCTTTGAAAATTGAACAAGGTAGTTTTCTGTCTTTCACTCACATTCTCTTGGGGTTGTAATACAGGGCAGGCAACCAGAACAGGAAGCCAGTAACATCTGTGGTCCAATAACATCTGCAGACCTGTTACATTATTAAAGTTAAGGCTAATTTCAACAAATTATTACCCTGCTCAAATCATTTGGTGTTTCCAGTTCCAGAAAGCCCTGTTTGCTTGTTTTGTTCTGTCTTTGTTTTCACTGCATGTTTTTTAGATCTCACTGTTATGGAGATGAGGTTTTTTTAAAACAGAAGGTCTTAGCTACAAAAGGGGTGTGTGTCATCTGGTTTCCCTTCTTTGCATTTTCTGCTTTCACTTTTCAAAAAAATGATTTTTTTAAAAAAAATTAATGTATTTTTTTTACCCTGACCTTCTCCTTAAAGAAGACTCAAGTCGGGTTACATCATTAAAAGACAATACTGTATTTAAAAGCAAAAATAAGCAAGTGTACAAATATTTAAAAAGGATCAAATAAATACCACAATGAAAATGATAAACAAAATCAACACCAAAATATATTCAAAGTAGCAAAGCACAAATTTAACAATTTGGCTGCAGTGTTTTGAACCCACTGAAATTTCTGAACACTTTCCAGAGGCAGCCCCGTATACAGTGTGTTACAGTAATCTATCTGAGATGTAACTAAGGCATGTGTCACTGTGGCCAAATGAGACCTCTTCAGGAACGGGCACAGCTGGCACACTAGTTTTAATTGTGCAAATGCACTTTAATTGTGTAAATGCAACCACCAAAACCTGGGCATCCAGGCTCAGTAGCAAACCCAAAAGCACACATCTCTAGCTCTTTCACTGATGGACCTGTAGGAAATCATGTGGAGGTAATCCACCCATCCTCTAATTTAGCAATAAATATTTCCAGTGTTTTGATGAATTACTAACAGGGGTTAGGAGGACTACTTTAAAACTACTTATCATTAAACATTGCTCCACTGACATCCAATTTAATAAGTTGAAGTATTCTGGATCATCTCTAGTTATGCATTACCTTTTTGGTGCTGATTCAGTGCTCCATCAGCTAAGCACAAAAAATTTCTGCAGAGAATTCTAACTACCAAAGCCCAGACCCTATAATTCCTTAGGATGAAGATAATTAAAATGTTACTGTTGTTGTTACATGCCATCAAATCACCTTCGACTCATAGCAACCTTATGAATAAGTGATCTCCAAAATGTCTGGACCTTAATGGCCTTGCTCAGCTCTTGTAAATGCACATCTGTGGTTCATTCAGGGAGTTAATCCATCTCACATTCAGTCTTCCTCTTTTCCTGCTGCCTTCAGTTTTTCCTAACATTATTGTCTTTTTCAGAGAATCCTGCCTTATCATGATGTGCCCAAAGTATGACAGCCTCAGTTTTGTCATTTTTTGCCTGCAGAGATACAGTTCATGCTTGATTTGCTCTAGGACCTGCTTGTTTTTCTTTCTGGCAGTCCAGGATATTAAAAATAAATATGTTATTAAAAGTCTCATTCAGCAGTGTAGCTAGAGCTTGAGTTCTACAGAAGAACATTGCTATGTAATTCAGAACAGAAGTCAGATCAACTGGTCGACTCTCATGGATAAAAACTGCCTCCATATGAAGTCCGATCAGCTATATAGCCAAAAACAGCTGCAATAGGACAGGATATGTCTTTATCATTATTATCATTGCCATTGTCATCAAACATTCTTAAACAACCTGATGCTCAGATGGTACAGTACAAGACAAGATCATTAGAAAGAAAACCTTCTGAGAGGCTTACAATCTAAATACACTGATACCTGAAAAGAGGGAGAACAGAAGCAGAGCATGAAAAATATTCACTCATATTCCGTGCTTTCTGATTATTTACCAGGAATCAACCAGATCTTTTTCATTTTCCACTAGTTACGAAAACTAGAACACTATGCTTTCCAGACCACATTCTGCAATATGTAAGCATCATGACTGGGAAGACGGTGGTAGTACAGTGGAACCTCTACTTACGAACTTAATCTGTCCCAGAAAACGTTTGTTAGTTGAAACGTTTGTAAGCTGAACCAAATTTTCCCATAGGAATGCATTGAAAACCATTTAATCCATTCCAGCTGTTTTTCGTTCTTATCTAGAGGCACCGTTCACAAGTAGGGGCATTAGTTCCCATAGGAACTAATGCAAAGCTGGTTAATCCGTACTCTACCACTAGGTGGAGGAAACTTTTGTGAACAGAGCTGTTCACAACTTGGATTGTTCGTATCTAGGGATGTTCGTAAGTAGAGTTTCCACTGTACTTGATTCTCAAGTTAGCTAAGCTTACACAGACAGGGCGAGGTCAGTTGTGCTCATTTTGCTTTTTAGGAGACATCCTGCAATCCCATCTCAGTGGCCAAGCCCTCCCTTTCCCAGGCTCTCCTCGCCTCACCCCGAGGGCAGCCTCTGCAACCCTTCAGCGTCCTGAGTCTGAGGGCTTTGCTCCTGCCCCCTACGGCCTGCCAGCTCCCTCACCTGTCTCCTCAGGGTGGTTGCCACTCAGCAATTCTGCCTCCTCGCCCGTTCCGCTGCTGGGGGACATGCATGCTGTTCTCTCTCTGGCCGCACCGCCCTCCCCATCCTCTTTGGAAGACGGCTCTGCCTCGTCCACCGGGCACGGTGAGTTGGAAGCGAGTGCTAAGGAAAAGGCATGGGCTGCCGCAGCCCTGCGGAGGGAGCGCCGGCGTCGGACGGCGGGGGAGGGTGGGGGGCTGGGCTTGGAACTCACAGCTTTCTCCTTCTCCTTCTCTTGCTCCTCCTCCTCCTCCTCCTCATGGCCCTGAGAGGCAATGGCCTTGTGGGGAGTGGGTGTGCAAATCTGGGTGGTGGCGGAGGGGCTCCATGAGAAGGTGTGGCCAGCCAGGCACTCCCAGACCAGGTGGCCCCCTGGGACGCCCTTCTGCTCCTTCTGCAAGAAGGGCTTCACGTTAGGGACGAAGGCGCATTCTTGGCTGTGATTGTGAGAAAGGACAACAAGATGCTGCAGAGTTTCAGAAGGGAGACGATCGGGGAAAACATTGGAGCTGTCCTGTCCTGGAAAAGGAGAGGAAAAGAATCGAATCAGTTCAGGGGAGATAAGCTTGGATGAGTTTTAATGAGGAACAGTAATTCTCCAACCGCGTCTCCCTTATGCTTTTCTTCTTCTTCTTCTCTCTTTTCTTTTTTTTAAAAGGATTTTTTAAAAGAAATGCTCTATAGTTATATGTATTGCTTTGTGGGATCTTCAAGATTTGTAACTTGTAAACAAGAGGAGTGCATGCACTAAAAGGGGGGTATAGCCACCCACCCACCTACCTAAGAGAAAAGGTGCTATACTTATTGCTTTTAGACCAAGGTTTTCAATGTGTGATCCCTCTGCTCAGAGGTTGGAAATGTTACTTTTTTGGCTTACAGCTACCACAATTCCCCAGCCAGAATGGTCAGCGTTCACACTGGCTGGGGGAGCACACAAGACAAGTTCCTCACAACAAAATACATTGAAGTTCTGAGTACAGTATAAGGTTTGCATTTTCTGTGGTTTAAACCGTGGAATGTTTGGGGCCTAGAAAACCATGGCTGCTAGACCTGATGCTATATGTATTATTCATCCAGACCAAGAGTTAATCCAGAACAAAACATAGTTAAATACTGCTAGGCAAGCAAAATGTTTTCCTTCACCTTCAGTACCCAAACACTCATGGCAAAAGTCAACCTGAGGTCCTCAAGTAACCGGCAGATTTGTTTACATGAGATCAACTTAATTTACATAAGATACTACCTAAATGACCTCAAAGGTCTCAGCTGTAGAGGCCATCCTTCACCAGCAAAAGGTCTCAGGTTTAATTCCTGTCATCTTCAGGCAGGAGTGAGAGATGTTCCTGTCTGAAATCCCAGAGAGCCACTGACTGTCAAGTGTGTGGTCTGCCACTGGGGATATTGCTGGATCAATGTTTTGGATCAGAGGTATGACTTGATATCAAACAGGTTCTTATGACAGGACACTGCAGCAGTGCTTAGGTTTGCTATATATAATATTTACATTAGCAATTTTTAATAGCAGCATAGGATAAATTTCAGTGATGGTATAGCTCAGTGCATTGGACCATCATCCTCTGAAACCAGGGGCTGGGAGATTTAAACCACCACTGTGACTCCAGGGAGAGGGCCAGCCGAGATTAACCAGAGTATGTGTGGGGTTATCTGCCCTGCAAAGGCGAGGTTTTTTCCCTGGGGTTTCGTTTTGTCTCCTCACCACATGGCCTGGGGGTGAGGCCTAGGGGGTGGGACTTTCTGCTTTAAAAGAGTGTGTCCCAGGAAATTCTCAAAGTCTATCTCTGGCCTTAATATGGCAAATAGGAAATCCAATTAGATTTGCATAAACCTGGGAGGCCGGAAAGTTTTAAGGGTCAGATCATACTTCCACAGTATTAAAGAGCAGGCTGGGTAGGTGGGGCTCGTTAGCCATGGAAGGCAGCCCATCTAGGAGAAGGAAAACTCCGATTTCAAACCTCCACTGCCTTGTGGCTATATCCACACATGGAAAAGGCTTCAGGAGTCAACCTCGAGGCAAAATCCGGAGCTGGAGTCCCGAAGGCAGCTCGTGTCGTTCTGCCAACTCCTGCGACAGCACTGGAACCAGTTGGATTGGCTCTTGCCTTTCCACTGGACCATTTCAGCAATGTGGAGAGGGGGGGTCTGCTGCTTGGGTAACAGCCTATCCTCCATATTACCTTACTCAGGCTTCATGCTCTGGAGAGGACACTCCTCGATTCAGAGCATGTCACCATAGTCTCTCGAGACTGAAGGATGCCTATGAATCTGCCCTGCAATATGTCCACCTTTAGGTAGGCTGAGGAGTCCCAGAGTATCACGAGAAGGAGGGACTGGTAAACCACTTCTGGGCACTTTATATCTAAAACACTCCTGAGGGGAGGATCACCATGAGTGAGAATCAACTCAATATGCTGATGAATTTCTTTTATATATAGAAAAACCCTTCCTGGAAATGTACTATTTCAGAAAGCATCTAAAAATCTCTGGGGTATTATTCCCAGCCAGTAACAGAAGCATTGAAACAGACAATTTGGTATTTCTAAAAAAAAGACTTTGGAAAATGTTGACTAGGGGATTGTGGGAGTTGTAGTCCAAAACATAACTTTTCCATGATCTGCAAAAGCTCTCAAAAGAGCAGCAAAGCTGCCGTAAGACTGAATAAACTAATTTTAACAAAAGGCTGCTTCTGATCTAGGAAAAAAAATGCAAAGATTTCTCACCTGTTTCCAGGGTTAAGCTTGGCGAACTGTACCTGAATGAGAAAGAAAACAGATGGGAAAGCAGAATAAACAGAATAAAATACATTGACATGTGCTTAATTTATAGAACATTTTTCACATACAAAGTGGTTTTAACAACAATGTGGATAAAAATAAAGGCACTCTAGTGGAAGGATAGAAAACTGCTTTCACGGGGAATGAATTCAATGTCAGAGAAGTTTGGGGATGCTGCTTTCCAGTGGTGGGTAGTGCCAATGGCAAACAAGCAAGATGAAAAATGCAAAACTTTTTAAAGCTTTAAACTCTCACTCTTTGCAATGAAGTCTTAAAAGAAGCATTTCAGCCGTTAGAATTGTGGGGTGGATGGGTGTGTAAAAAACCTGGGGGGGGGCACCAAATGACTATGTCATGGGGAAGGAGGTATGGCATTCTGAGGAATCCAGATTGGGACTCCCAGAGGGACAGATTCAGCCTCAGGGTGTTAGGTATCTGAGGTCACAGACCTAGAGCCGTGATGTGACATGTCAAAAACACGGATATCTAAAGCATGAAGCAGCACGCAATTAGCCCAGAGTTAGAACATAGGACGGCAATCTGAGTCCACCGGTCTGGTCTCATGCAGCCCTTGCCCTGATCTCAAAAAACCTCTGCAAGCCACGAGTTCAGGCTTCTCCAGGGGAGTAGCTGCATTTCCCCCAGTAGCCTGCTAAGTAGGGAGGAACATGAAAGAGGTTGAGAAGCAGGTAACAAGGAGTGAATAAGGGTGAGAGAAAGACAAAGAGGAAAGGCATGGGTCGCCCACGTTTGGACAGATGTTAGAGAAGTTACATTTTTGGATGACAGATCTCAGAATGGCCATGGGTTTCTGGGAGCTACAGTCCAAAAAAGTAAGCAGTCTAAATTTGCCCCAGCCAGTGCTGCCTTCAGCCCTGATTTCCGCCAACAGGCAGCCACTCCTGCTCCAGGTTCCAATGCTGCACAGACAGAGATGCTCACCTGTCCAGCAGATACTTGGCAAGCTGCGAGTGCAAGGAAAAGCCCAGCTGCTCCTTGAGCTGGCACCACTGCTCCAGATGGCTCCCGATACGGATGCGGCACTTGCTGCGCCGGGCGTCCAGCTCCTTGCGCTTCTGCTTGCGAATCATTTCCGAGGCCCGCTGACGGCCCGGCCGCCCACGTTCCATCATCTCAAAGCCACCCTGCTGAGAAAAGAAGGAATCAGTTTAGGGTCTAATGAGTAACTCTTCCTGGACCACAAGCAGGTGAGCTATGGCAGCAACCGTTGTGCAGCTGTTCCTGTGAAACTATTTCCTGCAATTGGCTTTCACCTCAGTGCAACTTTCACAACAACAACTTCACACCTCCAAGATAGGAAGACATTGTGAAACTATTTCCTGCAATTGGCTTTCATCTCGGTGCGACTTTCACAACAACCTCACACCTCCAAGATAGGAAGACACAGCTACACAACAGGATCTGGTCCAGTGAATGGAGGAATCACATACCGCAGTGATAAGCAGACAACAGAAAGTAAGGCTAGTACAGAGGCTGAGACACAGAAAATCGTTGAACTGATCAGTCACGCAGGTTGGACCGGCCGTTCCAAGGCATTGAAGAGAAATGCAGACAACTATCTTGTCAAATCGGCTTTGATTTGGATTTCTGCATTGAGCAGGGGGTTGGGCTTGATGGTCTTATAGGCGCCTGCATAGAAGGGAGAAATCTGGGTCCATCAACCGAGCAAATGTCACTGCTTGGTCCCATTCCTTTAACTCAGAAGGTGCTGCTGCCTGGGGCAAACAGCTGCTGCGCCAACTGCTTGGCCCCATTTCCTAGCCTAGCAGCAGAATGCTGAGGAGAAGGCAGCAGGAAAAATCTCAGGATACATTCCTGGCATCACCACGCTGGAATCACATTGCTAATGATCCTGATGCTTTACATAGATTTTCTTATTGTAATATTTTGGGAGTGTCTTTAATAACCCTTCCAGGTAAACATTTGTCTTCCTGTCAGTCTAAATAGCAGCATCTACAACGATGGGGCACATAAATCCAAATTTTGCCACATTCAAAGTGCTAATACTAACCTATAAGGCGCTTAATGGTTTGGGACCTCTTTACCTGTCAGAGTGTCTCTCCTTAAGATTGTCTACCTGGGCCACCTGTTCTTCCTAGGCATTTCTATTCTGGATGGCCACCCCAACGGACGCCCAGAAAATAACCAGCAGGAACCCTTTCAATAACATCCTCACCCTATGATAGACCCATTACCTCTAAATTTTATTTCTGCTTGCTGCTGCCTACGGACATTGTTTTGTAATTATTATTTGTTCATCTTCACTTAAGGTGGGTGAGTGGGGTGTTTTTACGATAGACAGACAGATAAACAAATAGAAAGATAAGGAGCCTGTACAACCAGTCTTTGAGGTGAGATTGCAACGCTACCCATCAGTGCATTTTAGATCCTGAAGCCAGACAGATCAATCGATAGACAGATTGATCGATAGATTGGTCTTCCCCAATCTGATACCCTTTGGAAGGGAACTCACATAACTCCAACCAGCTTTCTGACTGTGAACAATAAGTTCTGTAGTTTAACATATCTGTAAGACCCTAGGTCGGGAAAATCCATTTTGCCCTCTTTCGTCATGCCTGGCAGCCTGAAAACGTAGCTTTTTCAGGCAAAACAGAAATAACAGGCATCGTAGTGCTTGGGAGATACAAAGTGAGGCATCTCCATTAACGTTTGCCTGAATTCATCCCTACCCATCTTCCATCAGACTTCCCTGCTCCCTTTATTGCCACATCTCTCCAAATGCACAAGCAGTAACAACAACGACTGAAACATGTTTTGGCACGAATACAATTTCCTCCAAATTCCACAGATATCAGGGCAAGACGAAACAAAGTTGCGGGAGCGGGAGGGGAAAAAGATGTCCCAGAGCCCTGTAGAAAAGCCCTGAAGTCTGTAAGATAGGAGAAGTATGAACCAGGGGAAGGGGGGTATATGTTGCATCTTTAGCTGGCTTTCCGTGCTTACCTTGCAATAAGGCAACGGATCTCGATGAAGCTCACAATGGGGTGGGAACTGGGGGTGATGGTGGATTGGACTGTCATGCTGCAACCCTAGACGTATTTACTCGGGAGTAAGCCCTATTAAACATAGTGGCATTTGCTGCCCAAGCCAAGATGCAATGATTTGCACAACTAAATGCTCTCAGTACCAACCAGGCACGTCAAGGCGCAATTCAGATCTTCTTCGGGCGTTGTTACAACTGAAATTTGGAAGGCAGCGGCGGGACATTTGCAACGTACAGTTCAAGAAAAAACGTGCTCGTCCTTACGATGGTAAAGGCGGGGAGGCTCGACTGGCCTCCACTTCCCCCGTCGCCGCACACGGGTCGGTGAGTTCACACGCAGAAACGACGCGCGGGCCAATCTGGCGAGGCGCGAAGCTGCAGAAAGGTCCCATTTAAACCGCTGGCCATCCCACCTTGGTCCTCCCTCTCGAGGGCTTTTTGCTCGCAAATGCTCGATGCGTTGCTTATTGTAGTGAAGGGGGTGGCAGAGCTTTATTTACCCAGAGACCAGCTCATGGAAAAGCTCTGCATCTCCCGCCCGGCTCCGTAAAAAGTCGGAGGGCAAGTCTTCCGGATCCCCTTTACCAACCGCCGGAGAGGGTTGCAACTCGCTGCCCGCTTTGCAAAACGCGTGAAGCGCCCACAGGAAGGAGCCGGAACCGCTCTGGCGGGCGCGCGTGGCCTGCACGGACGGTGAATCCGGGTGCACGAATCCGGGGTGGGGAAAGGGAAGGCGTGCGGGGCTGTGGCGCGAGGCTTGTGGGTCCCGTTGCGTTGCCCTGCTGGATGGATGAGTTCTTTCTCAGGGGGTGCTGAAGCCGCGAAATGGTTCCCGTGTCGCCTCGCTCGCTTTCTTGAACGGGAGAGGAGGTGTTGGGCTCCGATCCCCGATTTCACTGCTACTCCGTCCCCATGGGGGAATGTTGCCCCTGCTTTTCGGAGTCGCTGTAGTAGCCATTAACTCCCGAGCAGCCAGAATACTGGTGATGCTGCTACGATTTAAGTGACCTCCAAAAGATCCTGTCATCTACAGCTTTTGTTCAGCTCTTGCAAACTCAAGGCTGTGGTTTCTTTTACTGAGTCAATCCAACTCACATTTGGTCTTCTACCTATGCTTGCTGGGAAAACACCTCCCTCCCACACACATTTTTTAAAGGGGCTTACTCTTATGTATATGGAATTGGTGTCCAATGATGCATCAGCGGTGGAACAATATTTCACTCCAAGCTTCCCGTCTCAGTGTGTGGAAAAATTATCTTCTGAGATTACAGCTCTCAGAATACACAGTTACCCAGAATACCCAGTTAGCATGGTCAGTTGCGACATATGGGTAATTCTCCTTACATGCCTTTCAAGGTTTTTCTACAGATTGCTAACAGAACACATGCAAAATGGATTGTATGTCCTGATACGTTGTTTACGTATTACTGAGGCCAAAAATAAGGGGTGCTGGGATTTTAAATGGTGAAATTCTAGTTTATATATACACACACTTGCTCTAGTGTAGATAATAAAGAATAAGGCTCTACTCATAGAATTCAATCTTCTCACAATCGGCCTGCATTGTTTCCCTCCCAATTATGTTTGACTTCCCAGGTTCATTTTGGTAATGCACCAGATTACATTTTGTCAATGTCTGATCATTCTAGTATCTCAGAAATGGAGGATGAGGAGGACATAAACCTAGTGAATGAGGAGCTGATTACCTGGAGATTCTTCCAGAGGGAGTTTGTGAACAGAGAAGAGATAGGGTACAGATCAGATCCCTTCTGTAAGAATGCAAGTGACCCTCAGCCTCAGAAATGGCGTGGCCCAAAGCAGCAGTGGAACAATGCTATGCACTGTGAAAGAACTGTTGGGGAACACAGAAAAGTCTCAGGTCTGTAAGGAAGAAGGCATCTCTGTGTTTCTTGACTGTGGGAAAATTATCAGATGGTGTTGTCCTCTTTTCAAACAGAAAACCCATTCATGGCAAAATCTCTATTTCTGCCTTGAATGCTTGAAACATTTCAGCAACAGTTTGGCTTTTATGAAAATAGAAAAGACAAAAGAAAATATTTATTTACCCAGCATGTTGTTAGTTTGTGGAACTCCTTGCCACTGGATGTGGTGATGGCATCTGGCCTAGATGCCTTTAAAAGGGGATTGTACAGATTCCAGGAGAAAAAGTCCATCACAAGTTACAAGCCATGATGGGGACATAAAATTTCCAGGCTTAAAAGGAAGGTACCTTAAAATGCCAGATGCAGGGGAGGGGTATCAGGGAACAGGTATCTAATTGTCTCGTGTGCTTCCAGAGGCATCTGGTGGGGCCACTGTGAGGTACAGGGAGCTGGACTAGATGGGCCCTTGGCCTGATTCAGCAGGGCTTTTCTTCTGTTCTTATGAAATACAAAAGAATCTCTATAAGAAAGAAACTACACATATCCCAAGGTAGGAAGAGTTTTCCCAGAAACATCAACCGTTGTTGCACATCAGAGGCTACACACCGGAGAGAAACTCTAGAAATCTCTAATCACAGATTCAGTACAAACTCAAATCTCATGAGCCATCAAAGAATCCATTCAAGAGAGGAGACCATCTCTTATCTCCAAACAGTATGGTCAGCAACCAATGCATCAGACACTCGATTATCATCATCTTAGAACTATAGAGATGGAAGAGAAGCTATGGATCATTGAGTCCAACACTTGAAATACATCAGGTTGAATGCAGGATTTAGTTTACTCAGAACTCCACCTTGCTCCACATAATAGAATCAACATGGAACAATGGCTTATCTATACGGTATTTGGAATTTGGAAAGAACTGAATTTCAGATATCATCATGAAAGAATTCACATGAGACAGAAGTTGTGCAAGTCCCTGGAGAATGTAAAATGCTTCATTTAAAGCTGACACCTTAATTAGCACCAGTGAATTAATGAGGACTTTGTGTGTTTGTTTCATGTACTGTTCTCTCTTTTTTAAAATTGTGCATTTTGTTGAATTTATGTTATACAAAATGAGCTTAATGTAAATGTACAAAAATAAAATTATATGTTCTTGGGGAAAAACTTAGCATTCAGATGCTAATATAGATACAAATAAATAAAATAACAAAATAAAGTATGACTATGAAGTAAACTGTTATGGTTATTCTGAAACTTGGTGCATGAGAATAAGCATTTACTGAGCCTGGTCTTTGGTCTTGATCCTACCTACTGGCCCATGATCAATCAGTGTGTTACAGTCTCACCTGTTAGCCTATGAGGAAGCAAAGGATCAGAGATGCCCATTATGAGGTGTCAGAGTCTCACTGGATACCAAGGCGACATCACAGCTTGTGACAGTCCAGCATCAGGCACCACAAAGGTGAAATCAGCAGTGGCATTCTCAGGTGGAAAAGAGAGCTCAAGTAATTAGCATGTACTGTAATTGGAGCAATGGCTACTGCTTCATATAGAACAAGGAGAAGGACACACCTTCCAAAAAGGAGAAAACAGATGTTACGCAAGAAAACAAGGTGCAGGAAGCTTCTGCCAAGACGAAGAAGGCAACCATTAAAACGAGAAAGACATAGTTGTAAGAGAGCTGGCAAGCAAGCTGTGTCGCCAAAGAAAAGTCACAGGCATCCCTGTGATGAATTTGTGTCTAAAGTGTTGCGCCGTCTGCACAAAGATAGGATACAAATATCAACCAAGGCCAAGGGGAAGATGATATCCTTCATAAGGAGGTTCTACAACAGTGTGTCTGACAAGGCCAAGTGCAGCAAGAGAGCCCAGCGCACCAGCACCGTGGGCGCCAAGGAACTGCAGAAAGCACTAAAGCAGGTGGTGCGCAAGAACCAAGCCGCGAAATTGCTCAAAACCATCCAGAAAATGTCGCGCCGCCAGTAGAGCAACGTTCCTCCTGGTCTCCGCTGATCAGCATGTGACATCTACAGAGGAGAAGTAAAGGGAGGAATGAGCCGACTTGAATAGGAAAAAGAAAAGGAAAAAGAAAAAAAAAAAGAGAAAACTCCAGTTTCCACCTGATGAAATATCCTGATTCTGCCCTAAATATGCCGAGGAACTCTTCACTTTAGTGACAACAAGATCTTACAGTCAAACACTCCATCCTCAAACTAAGAAAAGATTTGGAAAGAATCGACAGAAGAATCCTCACACCAGTGGAAGAACTTGGAAGAAGAAACTTCTAATTCTTAAAAATATAATAAAAGGGGATTCTACCATGCTTTTTGGTTCTGATATGGTTTCCTTTACTTTCAATCATGTAAGATCTTGGGATTGCTATGGAGGAAGTTTAGGGGAAATGCTTTTATTCAGGCAAAGAGCATTGCGAGTACAAGTACTGTAGAGAAAAGTACATGTAGGGCAAGTGGTTTACTACTCCCATGGACAAGTAACAAGACATCCGAAAGGGAAAGGGGAGCCAAGAATGGAATACCTCTAAGCCTGAAAATCTATACAGTTGCATCAGATTGATGCTTAGAATAGACCCATTGGAGTTAATGAGTTAATTTACTTTAATTGAGACAGACATGACTTCAGAGCTTCTTCTGCAGTTATTACTAAGGTGTGGTTCCATATAAGGCGTTGATTGTGCAGTTGTTGTGCTGGCTTCATTCATTGGATTTTATTGTATATTATTGTTCCCAAGATACTCAGCAGAGGTTCTGAACAGCATGTGCAATGGTTCCCAACCATGGATCCCCAGATGTTCTTGGATTATAACTTCCAGAAATCCTAGCCAGCATAACTAGTGGAAAAGACCTCTAGGAGTTTTAGGTCAAGAACATCAGGAGACTCAAGGCTGGGAACCACCATACAGGGATTTAATGTAATAACCAAGACTGTTCCAGGGTCTGTTAATTCTATTTCAGGTACTTCATTTATCTCACTTCACAATTACTTCATAATTACCACATTTGTAGAGAGTAATGAGGACCTCTCTTCCACATGTGATGGTCCTGCCCTCTCTGTAAAGCTGGCTGAGCAAGGTAGTCACCCAAAATAGCAGATGCCGTGTGTGTGTGTGTGTGTGTGTGAGAGAGAGAGAGAGAGAGAGAGAGAGAGAGCTGGCAGCAGCCACCATCTGGCTGTTTTACTTACTCTCTGCTGCCATCTGTTCCTTTTCGACCACAGTGACAGATAATCTCTCCCCCTTATCACAACAATACATCCACAACAAAAACATGCTGATCGCCCTATTTCCTTAAAAGGACAAAAGCTGTTCCCACTGCTATAAATACTCAACTATCCAACAAACAGCAACAGAGCATGGACAGAGTTCCTACTCCAGTCCTCTGAAGATGCCCGCCACAGAGACTGGCGAAACGTCAGGAAGAGCAACCTTCAGAACATAGCCAAAGAGCCCGAAAAACCCACAACAACCATCAGATCCCAGCCTTGAAAGCCTTCAAGAATACAACGTGTGTCACATTTCTCATCCTAAGGGATACTATCCTATTGCCAGCATTGAAATAAAATTTAACTTATGAGCCTGAGGACCTGTATATGTGATGTGGGGGGGAGATACATTTCCCCCTATCCTTCAAGCACAAGACCCCAGCTTTTGTGCATAGACATTTTGTAAATATATTTTCACAATCATTGCAGAAATACTACAACAGCCCATTCTGTTAAGTCAGTCTTTGCTTCAAACCTCTTTCTTCTCAGTGATCTGCAACGTCCATTCAGATGATGTGGAATGACTGCAAACCCATTAAGAATATATTTGGCCCCTGTACTTTCTGATGGAGATTAAGCTGTTTCTGTACCATGGTCAACAGAACCAAAGAATAATAGATTTTCTAGAGGAATTGGTTTTATGAGAAGAGATCCCAAAGCTTACATGGTCTGCATAGGTCATTATAGTTAATTGTTTTAAAGTAAATTAAATAGGAAAAGATGGGCAGGAAGGTGGAGAAAACATCTTGGTAAAAAACCGATGGGATTGGTTTGGATGCAGTGCAACATCATTGTGTATACTGAGGTGTCACTTCCTAAGAAAAAACAACATATCATGAATTGTATTTTCTGTTTGAAGGTGGGATGGGGTGGGATTATGGAGGTAGAGGCAAGCAACTGGGAAGTAAACAAAGGCTGTTCGCATAGAAGAACTTTTTGGGTGGCATCTGAGATACTGGCCAAGGCTTCAAATTCTACATTGGTATGGAAAGCACAAATCGATTCCTTTCATCAAATAATGGGAGGAGTAATGGTGGTAACTGCAGCTGTAGGGTACTGATGGCCATTGCAAAATTATCTGCTGGTACCAATGAGTTGTGGTATCATTCAATTCATAAGTGTAGTATGATTGCATAGGTCATAGTCATATTCAATGTAATAAACGTTCCATGGCTACAGGGCAGGCAAGGCCACCCAATCAGCAGTCCCTATGCAGCTCCTTCATTTGCATGCATTGTCTATAACTGAGTGTGCCGGGCCAAAGCCGGGTGCCATTTGAGTCCAGGGCTTCAGCGGAAAGGGAAGAACCATGGCTGCTCACCAGCAAAGCAGAAGGAAAGCCAGGGAGGCAAAAAGAAAGAAGGCCCAGAAGAAGCACCAACAAGCCAGGCGGAAGCAGAAGAAACTGCAGCCCCAGAAGCAGAAGAAGCCGCGCCAGGCGCGTCCTAAGCACAAGGGCCGCCAGAGCAAGGCCGGCGGCAGCGGTGGGGAGCAGGAGAGGAAGGTCTGCCGCCCGCGGCTCTTTGCCTCCAGGATCCTGCGGCAGATGCCCAAGGTGCGGATGGAGGCCAAGGCCAGGAACCTGGTGAAGACCATGCTGACGGACGTCTACAACCACGTGGCCACCGAGGTGGAGACCCTGAGCCAGAAGAACGAGGCCTCCGCCATCAGCAGCTCCGATGTGCAGACCGCCTTGAAAGAAGCCATGAGCAAGGAGCTGGCCAAGCACACGGCCGAGCCGCCCACCAGCGGGGAGTGCGCTTAGAGGGGACAAGAAGGGAGAGGACCCAGCGCCTTCCCCCAGGAAGGAACCTAATAATAATTGAAAGAAGCCATGAGCAAGGAGCTGGCCAAGCACACGGCCGAGCCGCCCACCAGCGGGGAGTGCGCTTAGAGGAGATCCCTTCCTCTCCCCTCCCTTCTCTGCCAGGGGGGACAAGAAGGGAGAGGACCCAGCGCCTTGCCCCAGGAAGGAACCTAATAATAATAAAAAACAAGAGACTTTAAAATATTTTGCTGCCTCAAAATACCTACGAAATCCTGTATTCTACCACTTTCTATGACCATACGCACCTGAAAGAACGGTTTGTGAGGTGGGTTCAGAGAGGAAAAGAAACACCATATATATGAACTGGTTCTTCCAATAAATCGGGATTTTAGCAGCTTTATTCACCGACTTCTCTGTTTTTCCCCTTTAGTTTGAGAATGTGCAGTTCTGCTGTCCGCTGATCAGAAACCATCATATAAAATGTTGGTCTGCTGTGGAGGCAACAGTATTAATCTTAACACAAATCAAATGTAACAGCATCTTTAAAAAGTGTTTTTAAGATTTGTAATTCTTCCTTTGATCTCACCCTTTCAGTTTTGCATTCAGGCTGAAAATCCATACAACTATTTTTTAAAAAGGGAATGCACACTTCCACATGAAACATTTAATGTGTAAGAATTCTGCTTTATTCCCTTGAGAAAAACCTGACAGGGTTGTGTACTAGCTATAGAGTGCTAGCATTAGCTAATTACCTAATTTAGATAAAGTTGGTTCTTCACCAACAGACTTAGCAATTAAGTAATTACCTTTCTAGGCTGTTTCTGCTAACCAATACAGTACTTTGAAGTTTATTAGGGTTAATAATAATTGGTATGTTTCGTATCCTATTTTGCTTTGACCCCACACTCGCAACCACATGCGTTGTGTATACATATACATTTATATATCATGCATTGGTCTATGGCAGATTCTTGAATTATTTTTCAGCTGAGTCCATTCGTAGACTACAGATATTGCCTTGCCTTCTAGATCCTTCTAGGGCCGTATGCGTCATACATGACACGGTAACCTGGAACAACCTTGTGAGGTTAAAAATATATATATTGGCGACTCTGACTTAAATATTGAGAAGCATAACATTTCACACTCTGGGAAAAGCGAACATCGAATTCAATGGAGTTTGAGCTAGTGGGAAGCGAATGCGATTGGCTAATACGGTCTCGTGACAGTATAAAACTCGCCAATCAGAAGCCGATCTTTATATCTTACATTAATTAATTTCCCTGCACATTTTGGTGTCTTCGTTAGCGTTCATTTATTACGTAAAGGGCGTACAAAGATACTTGGAAAATAATTCACTGGGTCATGGTCGATTTTATTTTAAACCCGGGTTTTTTCTTTACGTTTCCAAATGTATGTAAATAGAGAAAAGAAAGCCATAAGTAACATTTAATGGTAATGCACAATTTACATATCTATAAACGCTTAGTGGTTTAAGGAAAGAAGCCCAGAGAAAGACAACTCCAGGAAGAAACCAAAATTTTAAATCAGTCTGGAAGAACTGAAGAATAAACTCAATTTCTTTGATTTAATTTTTTTTAATTTCATGGTTTTTGGTGGGCATGTAGTGATCGGATGCTACGCGGGATTCAGCCAGTGTCGGTGTATTTCGTTTTTCCAGTGCATGTACTGTAAGGGAAAGAGATCCCGAGGGACCTCCGTATGTATATCTTTGCTTCCTACCGTAGCTGGCGAATAAAATCTACATGGAACTCTTTAGGCCCTTTTTCCAAAGAAGTGTGTGTGAGTGTCAGGATGGCCGAGTGGTCTAAGGCGCCAGACTCAAGGCTGATCCTTCCCTGTGCTGGGTGTTCTGGTCTCCGAATGGAGGCGTGGGTTCAAATCCCACTTCTGACACATCTATTTTTAACCCATAATTTTTTTTCACTTCAACTCCCACTTCTGACACATCTATTTTTAACCCCCTCTTAAACCCATAATTTTTTTCACTTCAAGCATCCCAACCCTGTTAAAACATAAGTCTACTAGGGTCGCTTAAAGGTAAAGTTGAAGACATGTTTTAAATCATGTATTTGTTGATTACCTTTTTTCCCCCTGGTGCCTACGCTCATGAAGTCTAATGCGTTTGACTCATTCCATCCTCAAGTTCCTTTAGCTATTTGTGATGTCTTCTTCTGTGCGATACAGAAGCAAGGGAAGATGTTTTTTCTTTTTTTTTGTTTTAAATATCTAGATGGCAAAGCTCCAACCCTTCCGGGATACTTTGGCTTATAAAAAGAGAATACTCCTTCGCGGTATCACAGGTTTTATTGTTGGCCTGGTGGGGAAAGGAGCAAAAACATAAGCTTTAATTTCGTGTATCAGGAAAATTCTAAAAGTTACACTCAAAACTATATCTAGAATTTAGAAATATATTAAGAGAGAGGTAAAACTGCAATGGATTGTATACACCTTGATGAAACAGTCTGTTACAGCTTCCCTGGTGGTCTAGTGGTTAGGATTCGGCGCTCTCACCGCCGCGGCCCGGGTTCGATTCCCGGTCAGGGAACGTGTTTTGTTTTGTGAGTACTTTCCACCCCCTTAAGTTTTGGGCAAATCAGAAAAAAATCAGAACAAAGTATGTCTTGCAAAATATTTTGTTGGACGGCTGATGGGTTTTTGCTTTCAGCAACTGGGCGTGCTAAAGTTGTAGTTCTAAAGTTTCAGGATGAAAACCCAAATAAAGACTTAATATTAAAGATGTAAAAATAACTATCTGGATTGAGCTGCTGTTATTATATTGATTAAGTGGTGGACATTAGTTTCACTTTAAAAATGCACATTTGTTTTGATAAACCGCAAATAGCTCTTTATTTAAACCTAAAATAGCAGCAGAAAAACAACCAAAATGCAGCAGAAGGAACAAAGGAGAACCATGTCAGGAATGTGAATACTTTGGGCTTATGTAAAAGTTGTTTTTTTTTCTTTCTCTTTAAATTCTTTCGGAAAGGGGATTGTCTGTACTGGGCAGCAAAGCCTCATTAGCGTCAGGAGGACCTACGAACTCAGTGGAAATTTTTATGAAATGGGAACTGGGGTACCGCTTTGGGCTGGTCATACTCTGCCTTACCGAGGCTCTCCTGTCATGCCTATTTCCCAGACCATCGTGAACTGTGACTGTCCAGTTAAATCCTCCTAAAAGTATACTTAACAGTATACCTCCAATAAAAACAATATACTGTATCGCAATGACAACAGCAATTAAAGTTGTGGTAATAGATTTGTGTTTGTTATGTGCCATCACATTGGAACCAATTTATAGCGACTCTTATCAGAGTTTTGAAGGTAAATAGGAACAACAAAAAGGGGCTTGTTTACATTGTGAAATTTGGAGCCGTCCAGCGGGTGCTGGAAAGATCCTTATCTCCAGTGCAACCTATTTTAACTTTCTCTTAAGGATTTTACACGTTTCCACTTCCTGTGAGTTGCCATGGTTAAGCAGAGTGGCACTATCCCCTCTGCCACCTTGGGTGTACCATAGTTTGTCTGTGAGGACTGCTGTCCATATTCACTCTTCCTCCTCTTTCTTATAGATAATATTTTAGTTTCATTTTCTTTCTCCAATCCATCATATCTCAACTCTCTTTCTAATCAGGACAAAGGGATTTAAATATTGTGAATGTTTCCGTGGTAGTTATCCCTGAACAAAATAAAGCTGTCTCCCCTACTGTCAGCATTTAGATTCCACACAAAGTAGTGTGTACTGTTGTATCAGAGGGTATCTCTCTCCCTAATTTGGGAGACATCTCCCTGTTCTGGTATTAAGCTACCTGTGCGCTCAGGAATAAAAGAATGCAAACAGAACTCTCTCTGACTTTAGGGGAATGAGGAGACGAATGCATGGTTTTAAAACATAAAGATCCTTGGCAGCAAATTGTTGTTGTTTAGTCATAAAATTGTGTCCAACTCTTTGTGACCCCATGGACCAGAGCACGCCAGGCCATCCTGTCTTCCACTGCCTCCCGCAGTTATGTCAAATTCATGTTGGTAGCTTTGATGCCACTGTCCAACCATCTTGTCCTCTGTGGTCCCCTTCTCCTCTTTCCTAACATCAGGGTCTTTTCCAGGGAGTCTTCTCTTCTCATGAGATGGCAACAAACAGACAATAACAAAGTGAACAGCTCATAGGTTTAAGAGGACACGGCAACCTGCTACCTGGGTCAGCTGCCCCGCTCTGCCTCATGGAACGGATGGCCATGCTTTTTGGGAAAGCTTTCGCTACCTTGAAGTTAATTTCAAAGCTTCAGATGGTTCAGAATACAGTGGTGCCTCACAAGACAAATGCCTTGCAGGACAAAAAACTCGCAAGACAAATGGTTTTGGCAATGGGGGTTGATGACTCGCAAGACAAATGTTCCTATGGCAGTGCTTCGCAAGAAGAATGTTTTCTGTTTTTTGTTCCTGCCTCATGTTTGCTGATTTTTAAATGTTTTTCTATAGTGTTTAAAAAGTTAAAAAAATTTTATTGAAAATTTTAAAATCATCTGCACAATATTTATGGCTTTAAAGAGCACTTAATAAACCCTTTGTAAACCAAATTTGACTTTGTTCTGACTTTTTTTGCCCATAGGAACACATTAATTAGATTTCAATGCATTCCTATGGGAAAACGCGTTTCGCAAGACAAATTTTTCGCAAAACAACATTAATCGCGGAATGAATTGAATTCGTTTTGCGAGGCACCACTGTATAATTGTTGACTGAAACAAATTATTGAGATTAGAGAACATATCCTGTCTGTCCTTGATCTGACCGATATATATTCAGGCCTGTTTTCAATATCTGGCATTTTTGAGCAGCTGCAAGGCTCACTGCAGACAACTGTGCTGGGTTTTGAAGAAAATAAACAACAGTGAGAGGAAACGTCTCACAATTCACAACATTACCTGTAACAAAAAACCCTTCGGAAAGTATAGGGGTTTTTAGAACGTAACTCCAAAAATGTCATAGCCAACATGGCTGAGGGATTCTGGGAGTTGTAGCAAAAAAAGTGTTACATTTGTAGACTTTAATTGTAACATATACTTTTGGGATAATGATGTTACCTATATGACTGGTAATGTTAATTTTTTGGGATTACATGTAATGTTTATTCAGTATTCATGAAATGTTGCTTTTGAGTGGGTATCATTTTTGCTCGTTTTTAAAGTTTAATTTAAAAAAACAAGTTACTCGTTCAGCATGGCTGAGGGATTCTGGGAGTTGTAGCAAAAAAAGTGTTACATTTGTAGACTTTAATTGTAACATATACTTTTGGGATAATGATGTTACCTATATGACTGGTAATGTTAATTTTTTGGGATTACATGTAATGTTTATTCAGTATTCATGAAATGTTGCTTTTGAGTGGGTATC